TATTTCCTAGAAAGCTGTATCAGTGTGGCCACGCTCGGCGCCGACACCTCGGGCGGCTTGTCAGCAAATGCAAGGGCGAGGAAGCGGGTTTTTCCTGCGTGGCCGCTGGCCGCGGAGGAACCGCTGGCAGCCCTGCCCCCGGCCTGCAGCAGCTCTGGGCGCCTCGCCGTGTGTCCCAATGGCGCCCGTAGCGCCCCCAAAACAGGACGGTTTCTGCTCAGGGTCACATTCTACCACGTCGGAGAAGCAGCCTCCTCCTTCCTATCACCCTCCCCTCCCTCGCCACACACTCTGGGTGTGGGTGTGGGTGGGGGGTGGGGTGGGGGTGATGCAGGGAAGACGTTGTTCTGGTCCCTTTAGCTGGGCTTACAAAACAGCTTCAAAATGACCAGGACCATAAATTTCCGAGACATAACCTTTATCTCTGGGTATGCGAGGTTGCAATTTTCTAAAATCGCACTCTTTATTTTTCACTTAAGGGATCTATTTTTAGCTTGTCCGAGCCCACCCCATCTTCAAGTAAAATACCCTTCAGTCCTGGATCTTTAATATATGGGCAGGCGAGAGAGGATGAGTTTCGAAGAAGCCAAAGTTGGAGAGGGTCGTATTTTGGTATGATACATCTAGAATGTGCGAAATTAAAGGGAATAAATAGGAACCGGTGTTTTTTTGTGGGTTCCCCTATCCGGGGCCCCTGGCATGAGAGGCTGGATGGAGGGAGAGGGCCTCCGAGAGCTAAGGAGAGGGGTGGGGGAGCGGGGGACCGCGTTTGAAGTTAGGTCGGGCCAGCTGCTGTTCTCCTTAATAACAAGAGGGGAAAGGAGAGAGGGAGGGAGAGATTGAAAGGAGGGGAGGGAAGGGGAGGAGGAACCGGGGAGGGGAGCGCGGCGAGAGGGAGGAGAACTGCCCAGCCAGTTTGCGTCACCGCCTCGCCGAGCAGAAGAGGAGAGCGAGCTGGGGAGAGCGAGGCAATTTGGAGGGGAGGGCAGGCAGAGTCAGCGGACCCCGCGGCTCTCCTCTCCCATCGCCCATCCCTTTTCTCTCTTCTCCTTCTGCTCCCCTCTCGGCCCTTAACTTTCCCCCCGAAAACCCCACTTAGCCAAAGGAAGGAGGTAAGGGGAACCCTTTCCCCTCCCCCCTTCAAAAAACTTTTCCAAGTCCGGAGAAAGCAGGGGACCGAGCGGGCACCCGGCTGGCCATGGAGCTGCTGTGCTGCGAGGTGGACCGCGTCCGCAGGGCTGTGCCCGACGGCAACCTGCTCCACGACGACCGCGTTTTGCAGAACTTGCTCACCATCGAGGAGCGCTACCTTCCCCAGTGCTCCTACTTCAAATGCGTGCAGAAGGACATCCAGCCCTACATGCGCAGGATGGTGGCCACCTGGATGCTGGAGGTAGGTCTGCAGATCCACGCGGTCTGTTCCCACCCGCATTCTCCCCCCCCACCACCACCACGTTGGGGCCCTAAAACTGGGAGAGGACAGCCGCCGCTCCCGCCTCCCCGCCCCTGAGTGCGAGGTTACCCCGAGCCCTTTGGCGAGACGCGTGGCTTTATTTCCGTTCCTTGCGGGATGCTAATATTAACCGGGGGAGGAGGAGGGGGCGGAAGGAGGAAAATCTGGGAGAAACGAGGCTGTCCGGGGTGGGGGTGGGGGAGCATCCCGCGCGTGTGCGCTTGCATGTGGCTGCTGCGTCTTCCCACCCCCATTCCGACCTGTCCTTGGCGAAGCGGCGGCTGCCTTCGGTGCGCTTAAGGAGGGAGTAGGACCGTGAAATCAGGACCCAGAAGTTAAAAAAAAAAAAAA